AATAACTGGATTGACCATTTCCTTTAAGTGCTGTGGCCTTATTCCAGTGTAGCCCCCCCCCCCCCACAGAGCCGGACGGGAACGACATTGTTGCTTTGTAAATGTCCGTGTCTTGCACAGTCAATGGTTCCATAGTGGGGACAGCGGATTACCCATTGCCATTCCCTGTTTTTGAGTATAGTATTTCCCTTCAAACACAAACTTGCAGTCAACTACTAAAAGCTTAATCAATTCAATAATGGTATTTTTCTCATACGGCAAAGAGAACTCATCTAATTCTTCTTCCAAATAAGATAGCGAGTCATGAACAAGGAATCTCGTGAACAAAGCAGTGACATCAAAACTAACAAGAGTAAAATCATTAGACATGTTGATATTTTGCAATTTGTCGATGAGATCAACAATGTTTTTTAAGTGGGCTTCAGAAATGTTGCCAAGCAAAGGAGATAGTATTTTTACTAACCATTTTGACAAGACATATGATCCCGATCCTACCTTACTAATAACAGGTCTGGCTGGAAAACCTGGCTTGTGGGTTTTAATCAAACCGTACATGTAAGGGAGTGTCGCAGATCTCGCCGATAACTGTTTAATTAATTCCTCATTACCTCTCAGTAAAGTTCTAAGTTGTTTATTAAATATACTATAACCTGGTCCAAAGGGTTCTTATTATGGGGTACATAAGTATCCCTGTCTTCTAATATTGTGTTAATTTTTCCTCTATAATCTACCTTGTCCATAATAACCATCACATTTGCTTTGTCAGCTTTCGTAAGATGAGGTCGAGGATCTCTCTTCCCCTTTCCTCTTTCCTTTTTCTCCTCTGGGTTGTCTTTCTCTCTTCTGTCTCGTGTTTCTGTTCCTTCTTCATTTATTTCACCACTTCCCCTTTCACGCACCTCTGTGTGCTTGCTCTCCCTCTGTGGGCACCTAGCTCTCTTGCAGTGCTCCCCTTCCTTTGTATTTGACTGGCTCGTCCTCCTTATTCCCCACTTCTACCACTACCACTACTACTACCTCTTCTACTACTTCTACCACTACTACTACTGATGAAATTAAGACACATGTGCGGCCTCTGGTTGCCTTTGTTGTGGACGTTTCGCCATCCAGTGGCTGGCTGGCGAAACGTCTACGATAGGAATGCCTGGGTGTTGCACATGTGTCTTAATTTCATCTTGTCGGTATTTCATACCATTCTTGTACTACTACTACTACTACTACCACCTCCTCTTCCTGCCTATATATAGCCGTCCTGCTCCACTTCTGGTTAGTGTGACTTTGTAAATGGTCCAAGTCGGACCGAAACGTCGTCGTAAGCTTCTCTCTTTTATGTGCGGGTTATTTGTGTATCTCTCTTCATTTCATGGTACGAATTAATAAATCTATGAGGACAATTCAGTTCCACAGGTCTGAGCAAAGCTCCATATACCATGCCTTTGAAGATGTTGAATGTTTCAAGGGATAGGTCCTACCTTGCTGGCAGCTAAAAGAACTTATTATAGAGCAGAACCTAGGATAACACCTCAGACCAAGAACGTGCTGGTCCTCCCATATAACGAGAATTTATCTATCCTGCCGAAGGCTCTTAGAAGATTTAATATACAAGTAGTATTTAAAAATTCACGGACTGTTAGAGGCATCCTGATAAAGAATGCACCACAACAACGTGTTGGTGGTGTTTACAGAGTTGGTTGCAATAGCTGCAATCTCTCCAATTTGGGACAAACTGGAAAATCATTGGAGTTGAGAATTTCCCAGCACCGTTATTCGATACGTGTAGCACAGGAGTCGAACGTAATTTTCAACCATATTAGAGCTTGTAATAACCTAGTCATTGTGGTTGTATATAAGCCACCAGATGCAACCTCACAACAGTTCAAGGAACAGCTACTGAAAATTGATTACTGTCTGGAAAACCTTCCAGCTCCATCCCCAAACATCTTACTGCTTGGTGATTTCAACCTAAGGCATACAAAATGGAAGAATGTCGCAAATAATGTTATAGCTGAAACAATCCCCGGAGGTAGCGCAGATGAAAGGTCACACACACATGAGCTACTAAGTCTCTGCGAAAAACACATCTTAAGCCAGCAGATAGTGGAGCCAACAAGACTAGAAAACACACTTGAGCTTATCTTCACAAATAATGAGGACCTGATAAGAGACATAAGAATATCAAAAACAACTAATTCCGATCACAACCTAATCGAAGTCCAGACGTACATGCATAAGGGTCCTGATCAGCAGAATGCATGTACCTGTGAAGTTGTCTTCACAAAATACAACTTCAACAACAAGAACATCAACTGGGACCAGGTAAACCATGTCCTAAACGAAACATGTTGGGAAGAAATCTTAAATGACATGGATCCAAACCAGTGCCTTGAAAGGATCAACTTCCTGGCAGCTGAAGCATGTTCTAGGCTAAGAACTATAGACCAGTAGCTCTGACGTCCCACATCATAAAAATCTTTGAAAGAGTGCTAAGAAGCAGGATTGCAAATCACCTGGATTCCCAAAATCTGCACAATCCAGGGCAACATGGGTTCAGGGCAGGTCGCTCCTGCCTCTCACAACTACTGAATCACTATGATATGGCCTTGGATGCACTGGAAGAAAATCAGAATGCAGAAGTAATATACACAGACTTTGCAAAAGCATTTGACAAATGCGATCATGGCGTAATAGCCCATAAAATACGTGCTAAAGGAATAACTGGGAAAGTGGGGAGATGGATCTTCAACTTCCTAACAAATCGAACACAAAGAGTAGTGGTCAACAGAGTTAAATCGGAGGCTGCCATAGTGAAGATCTCTGTTCCACAAGGCACAGTACTCGCCCCCATCTTATTCCTCATCCTCATATCAGACATAGACAGAGATATACATCACAGCACCGTATCATCCTTTGCGGATGATACTAGGATCTGCATGAGGCTGTCATCTGCTGAGGATGCGGTTAACCTCCAAGAAGATATAAACAAAGTTTTCCATTGGGCAACGGTAAACAATATGATGTTCAATGAGGACAAATTCCAACTACTCCGTTATTGAAAACTGGAGGAGATATTAACTAGAACAGAGTATACTACAGACTCTGGCCATACAATAGAGCGGAAAAATAATGTAAGGGACCTGGGAGTAGTATTGTCTGAGGATCTCACTTTCAAGGATCACAACAGTGCCACGATCGCATGTGCAAAGAAAATGATAGGATGGATAATGAGAACGTTCAAAACGAGAGATGCCAAGCCAATGATGATCCTTTTCAAATCACTTGTTCTCTCTAGGCTCGAATACTGCTGTACATTAACATCTCCATTCAAAGCAGGTGAAATCGCAGATCTAGAGAGTGTACAGAGATCCTTTACTGCACGTATAAGTTCTGTCAAGCACCTTAACTACTGGGAACGCTTGAAAGCACTTGACTTGTACTCGTTGGAACGCAGGAGGGAGAGATGTATCATAATCTACACTTGGAAAATCCTGGAAGGAATGGTCTCAAATCTGCACACAGAAATCACTCCCTACGAAAGTAAAAGACTGGGCAGGCGACGCAAATTGCCCCCAATAAAAAGTAGGGGCGCCATTGGTACACTAAGGGAAAACACCATAAGTGTCCGGGGCCCAAGGCTGTTCAACAGCCTCCCATCAAGCATTAGGGGAATTGCCAATAAACCCCTGGCTGCCTTCAAGAGAGAGCTGGACAGATACCTAAAGTCAGTGCCGGATCAGCCGGGCTGTGGCTCGTACGTTGGACTGCGTGCGGCCAGCAATAACAGCCTAGCTGATCAGGCCCTGATCCATCGGGAGTCCTGGTCGTGGACCGGGCCGCGGGGGCGTTGATCCCCGGAATAACCTCCAGGTAACCCAGCAAATTGGCAGGAAACAAGAGTCATTTTCCCCTGTGCCTCTTGACTTGAAAGAAATATTGTTGAATCGGCAATTATTATACTGGTGATGGGATGTTCAGATTAGATGCGTTTTTAATTGACGCAATAGTGCACGGTTTAAAACTGGGCATCAAACTGCCTTAAATGTAGTGCCACGCCAAGGAATTAGGCCTTGTATATACGTATTGCTCCTGCAGTTTCTGAAGCTTGAACCAGAGTTTGCCTCAGAATTATGTGGCTGGTTTCCTTGTTATTGAAGATGTTTTTCCCCTTGAAATGCGTTTATTTTAATGGGCCCCGTTTCCTTTACATAACTTGTAGAAGTCCCGCATATACGGGACAGTTTTCTCTCATAATTTAAAGGGACACGTTGGCCTTGGGGTGCCTGGTCATTTCCGGTGCTCTCCTTTCTCCCTACACTATTCTCTCATTCCAGTAAAGGCGGTCCTCTGGGAACGTTATTTACTAGAACCTTTCTTCTTTTCTGCAATTTTGCAAGCTCCTGATGATGTGTTGATTGTAACACGAAAGGCCTAGAGCTATTATTTTGCTCCCCCCGTAGTTGTTTTGCATCTTGTATCGCTTGGTTTGCGATATTTGCTTAATATATATATATATATATATATATATATATATATATATATATATATATATATATATATATATATATATATATATATATATATATATATATATATATATATATATATACATATATATATATATATATATATATATATATATATATATATATATATATATATATATATATATATATATGGTACCGCCCGGTTCTCATCAGTACCACCTAGTACTCATCAGTACCACCTGGTCCTTATCGGTACCACCTGGCACTCATCAGTACCGCCTGTCACTCATCAGTACCACCTGGTACTCATCAGTACCACCTGGTCCTCATCGGTACCACCTGGCACTCATCAGTACCATCTGGTCCTCATCAGTACCATCTGGTCCTCATCAGTACCACCTGACCCGCATCAGTACCACCTGGTTCTAACCTCACCCATACCAACTTCTCCTCCCACTATAGTTCCATTGTGGCACTAACCCTCCCCCTCCTCCCTTTGCTACATCACTTGGCACTCACCACTGTCCACTAGGCAGTCGAGGGAGACGGAGGCACCCACAGGATACGGGCCAATCACACCGCTCACTTCCAATCCCTCCTTACTAAGGATCCTAATCCTCTTGGGTGGCACTGTGAAAGGAATAAACCAGGATATATTAGTGGTCAGTATGTAGAATATATGATGGATATATGTAGAATATACAGTGTGTAGAATATACAGTGTGTAGAATATACAGTGTGTAGAATATACAGTATGTAGAATATACGAAAAATAATATAGAAAATACGCTATATAGAATATACACTATGTATAATATATAATATGTAGAATATGTGAAGGATATATGTAGAATTTAAATAGGATATTTGAATATTAGTAGAACGTACTTAGGATATATGTGTGATATATTTAGAAAATATGTAGGATATATGGAGAATGTATGTGAGTTATTTGTAGGATACATGTAAGATGTATCTCGGATATGTTTAGGATAATCAGGATATGCTATGTATTATATATTAATATGTAGAATATATGAAGGATATGTACAGGATATATGCAGGAATTATGTAGGATATGTGCCAGATATATGTAGGATTTGTGAGTAGAATGAAACGGGATAAAGCAGCTGGGAATGATGTGATAAAGATAGAAATGTTAAAAGCAGGTGGGGATATAGTGTTTTTATTTAAGAAATGTATGGAGGAGCATGCATAGTTCCTTTGTATAAAGACAAAGGGCACAAAAGAGAGTGCAAAAAATGTAAGGAAATAAGTCTGTTGAGTATACCTGGTAAAGTGTATGGTAGAGTTATTATTGATAGAATTACGAGTAAAACGGAGAGTAGGATAGCAGATGAACAAGGAGGCTTTAGGAAGAGTAGGGGGTGTGTAGACTAAACGTTTGCAGTGAAACACATAGGTGAACAGTATTTAGATAAAGGGAAAGAGGTTTTTGTGGAATGTATGGATTTGGAAAAGGCATATGATAGGGGTGGATAGGGGAGCAATGTGGCAGATGTTGCAAATGTACGTTATTAAAAGCGGTGAAAAATTTTTACGAGGATAGTGAGACTCAGGTTAGAGTATGTAGGCGAGAGGGGGATTATTTCCCAGTAAAAGTATGCCATAAACAGGGATGTGTGATGTCACCATGGTTGTTCAAAATATTTATAGATGGAGTTGTAAGAGAAGTGAATGTTCGAGTGTGGGCAAGAGGTGTGGGGTTAAAAGATAAAGAATCTAACATGAAATGGGAGTTGTCACAGTCGCTCTTTGCAGAGGTTGGTTGATGAGTTTGGTAGGGTATGTAAAAGAAGGAAGTTAAAAGTGAGTATAGGAAAGAGTAAGGTGAAGAGGATAACAAAAGAATTAGGTAACAGAAGATTGGATATCAGATTGGAGGGAGAGAGTATGGAGGAGGTGAATGTATTCAGATATTTGGGAGTGGACGTGTCAGCAGATGGGTCTATGAAGGATGCGGTGAATCATAGAGTTGACTAGGGGAAAAAGGTGAGTGGTGCACTGAGGAGTCGGTGGAGACAAAGAACTTTATTCACAAAAGCAAAGAGGGGAATGTATGAGAGTATAGTTATACCAACGCTCTTGTATGGGTGTGAGGCATGGGTTGTGAATGTTGCAACAAGAAGGCTGGAGGCAGTGGAGATGTCACGTCTGAGGGCAATATAATATATTGCAGTGAATTCGTAGTTTGGAGATTAGAAGGAGGTGTGGGATTACCAAAACTAATATCCAGAGGGCTGAGGAGGAGTTACTGAGATGGTTGGGACATGTAGAGAGGATGGAACAAAATAGAATGTCTTCGAGAGTATACAAATCTGTAATGGAGGGAAAGCGGGGTAGGGGTCGACCTAGGAAAGGTTGGAGGGAGGGAGTAAAGGAGGTTTTGTGTGCAAGGGGCTTGGACTTCCAACAAGCGTGTGTGAGCGTGTTAGACAGGAGCAAATGGAGACAAATGGTTTTTAAGACTTGACGTGCTGTTGGAGTGAAGGCAAGGTAACATATATGAAGAGATTCAGAGAAACTAGCAGGCCGGACTTAAGTCCTGGTGATAAAAAGTACAGTGTCTACACTCTGAAGGAGAGGTGTTAATGTCGCAGTTTTATAACTGTAGTGTAAGCGCGCCTCTGACAAGACAGTGATGGAGTGAATGATGATATATATATATATATATATATATATATATATATATATATATATATATATATATATATATATATATATATATATATATATATATATATATATATATATATATATATATATATATATATATATATATATATATATATATATATATATATATATATATATATATATATAATTGTACCCACGGAACAATTGGTATTGATCAATAACAACACTGCACTAGCCAAGGAGTCGAACCCATGCTGTTTTGGCCTACCTCATGGTGAGAGAAAACGCATGACTCTTCAGACCACTAGACCACACAATCCTTAAGGATTGTGTGGTATATATATATATATATATATATATATATATATATATATTATATATATATATATATATATATATATATATATATATATATATATATATATATATATATATATGCAGGAAATGCGCAGGATATACACATGATATACGCAGGATATACTCAGGATATAAGCAGGATATACGCAGGATATACACATAATATACGCAGGATATACACATGATATACGCAGGATATACACATAATATACGCAAGATATACACATGATATACGCAGGATATATGCCTCCCTCTTCCCCGATCCTTCAAGGGTAGATGCGAGGAGGTTCCTTGATGCGCCTCAAGTGCTTTTGATCCTACAAACTGCAGTTATTCTCCTTGGGTAAAGCCTCACTACCCCTGCGTCTTTAGCGTAGAGGTATTGAACAGCTTTTACGAGGAGAGAGGCACATTATTTCCTTGCAAAAGTAGGCCTTTGACAAAGTTGTTCAATATATTTACAGATGCAGTTGTAAGTGAAGAGAATGCTCGGTTGTTGGCAAGAGGTGTGGGGTTAAGAGATAAAGGATCTAACACAAAGTGGGAGTTGTCACAGTTGCTTTTTGCTGATGACACTGTGCTTTTGGGAGAGTCTGAAGAGAAGTTGCAGAGGTTGGTGGATGAGTTTGGAAGGGTATGTAAAAGAAAGAAATCACAAGTCATCGTAGGAAAGAGCAAGATAATTAGGATAACAAAAAATTTAGGCAATGAAAGATTGGTGGGAGTGAGTATGGAGGAGGTGAATGTATTAAAACATCTGGGAGTTAACGTGTCAGCAGATGGATCTATGAAAAACGAGGTGAATCATAAAACTGATAAGGAGGAAAAGGTAAGTGGTGTACTGAAAAGTCTGTTGACATAAATACGTTATCCATGGAAGCAAAGAGGGGAATGTATGAGAGTATAGTTGTATCAACGCTTTTTTATGGGTGTGAAGTATGGGTGGTGAATGTATGGTGGGAGTGAGTATGGAGGAGGTGAATGTATTAAAACATCTGGGAGTTAACGTGTCAGCAGATGGATCTATGAAAAACGAGGTGAATCATAAAACTGATAAGGAGGAAAAGGTAAGTGGTGTACTGAAAAGTCTGTTGACATAAATACGTTATCCATGGAAGCAAAGAGGGGAATGTATGAGAGTATAGTTGTATCAACGCTCTTTTATGGGTGTGAAGTATGGGTGGTGAATGTTGCAACAAAAAGAAAGCTGAAGGCAGTGGAGATGTCATGTCAGATAAGATTTCGTTCAGATTTTTAACTCCAGAGGGTTAGCCAACCCGGATAACCCAAGAAAGGCAGTGCATCATCGAGGGACTGTTTGTCTTATTTCCATTGGGGTCCTCAATCTTGTCCCCAGGATGCGACCCTCACCAATCGACTAACACCTAGGTACCTACAAGCTACGTGAACAGGACAACAGGTGTAAGGAAATGCGTCTAATGTTTCTACCCCTGCCGGGAATCGAACCCGGACTTTTATCGTGTAAAGCGAGAGCTTTGCCAGCCAGGACAGGGCAACTTGCGGTGTGAATATAATGAAGAGAATCCATAGATGGGATATAAGGAGGTGCGGGGCTTCTAAAAGTATTATCCAGAGGACTGAGGTGGGGTTGTTGAGGTGGCTCGGATATTTAGAGATGACGGAACGAAATAGAATGACTTGGAGACCGTATAAATGTGTAGTGGAGGGAAGGTGGGATTGGGGTCGGCCTAGGAAATATTGGAGGGAGGGGGTAAAGGAGGTTTTGTGTGCTAGGGGCTTGGACTTCCAGCAAGCGTACATGAGCGTGTTCGACAGAAGCAATTGGAGAAAACTGGTCTATATAAACTGAGGTGCTGTTGGAGTGTGAGCAAAGTAACATTTATGAAGGGATTGAGCAAAACCGGTTAGCCGGATGTGAATCTTGGTGATGGGAAGTACAGTGCCTGCACTCTGAAGGAGGTGTGTTGAATGTGTCGCAGTTTTTTTTAACTGTAGTGTAGGCACGCCTCTTGCGGGACAGTGACGGAGTGAATAATGATGGAAATGTTTCTTCTTTTCTGGGGGTCACCTGACTCGGTGTAAAAAAAAATTAAATAGGAAATAATAATTCTTCCTAAAAAAATGAGTCAGTGTTTAAGGTAATTTAAGTCTTGGTGAGGTGCTGCCTTCGCTATTATTTTTATTTCAACGCAGTATGTGATAAATAGAATAAAACAGGTGATAAACAGGCGCATGTTAACACAACAAGAATATAAGGCGGCGGGAGAGCCGTATAAGGACGTGTTGCTCCAAGCGGAGAAGTTTATTGGTACAATGTTTCTCTCTCTAAAAGAGAGCTCTTTATCCATCTCTCCTCCAAGCAAAACGCAGGTTCAGTAATGTCTTCTCTTGCTACGCTTGTCTGAGTCTTCACAAAATAAAGCAGACAGTTTTTTTTTTTTTTTTTGAGCGTTGAGCAGGCGGCGTTAATCCCCAGACAGGATATTAGATTAATAAATACTAATCTATTCTAAATGGATTTTTTCCCAGTGGCAATTTAGTCATTTATCCTCTTTGTTATCATTGTTGCAAGGGTGAGTCTGGATATATTAACGTACAGCGGGATTAAAAATATCGGGAAATAAATAGATTAA